TTATGTAGTTAACATCTACTGCTATTAATGAGAACATAACTCAGTAGAGTATGCTAATGAGAATGCAGAATTATCTAAGGTTGATTTATTCCAGGGGAAAAGTTTATAAGGAAATTGTGGATATTAGAAAGTGTAGTATTTCTGTAATAAAGTTTGTTTATATATCATAATTCAATATATTGAGATATGATCCAACTCACTAACATTTTACCCATGTGTTAATTGTGGAACTTCTCCAAGTAGGTCCAGAGTGCTTTTGTCTCATCTCTTCCCTGTAATACCTCCGCAAAACTATGAGCAGGAAGAGGTTTCTCAGAGCAGAGCCTGAACTGAGACTAGTAAAAGGGATACTTTCCCAAATTGTGATTTTGTCAAAGACAGTGACAGAATGTGTTGTGAAAGACTCTAGATCTATTCACACTTAAATTTGATTTTTGATGTGAATGTTTATTTTGATATCAGAAGAAAATAACATTAGTTTTGGACTCTCAATTTTCTCATCTACTTAAGGGTAATAGTACTCTATCTGCTGTGATTTTTTGTTGAGAGAATAAAAGGAAATATCTATTCTGGACTTTCACAAACCTTACATTAGAATGTCTTACTCTCTTCTTACTCCAGGTTTCTATGCTTCTTTGTCAGGTTAAAAAGGTAAATGTAAATTTTACTTCACTATCTTATAGACACAAAGTCAGTAGAGCAGTAAATACATAAATAATCTCTCTGAAGAATTCAGTACATTGCATAAAAACATTAGTATTAGTTAATGTTCTAAATTGAATGTTTTAGTTTTTCAAAATTTCATAAGCAAAATGACTGTGTTATCAAATAAAAACCTGTTTCTTTTTTATCTTTATGTCTTTGCCCTGTCGTTCCTTTGTACAGTTTTTCAGACTACTCCATGGAGACTGATTTCTGGGATTTTAGGAGTATTGTGTCTTCTGTTGATGATTGCTTTGGGAATTTTGTTGCATAAATGTAAGTTTCTCTAGTCAAATCTTTATGAAAATAAAAAATGTGGTTAAGCATTTAGTACTAAAGGTCTCACTTTAGTAGTGTGTAGTATTTTATTATCTCATAGATACACTTAAATCTGTGCCTAATTATATAAATTTCAAATAATTTCTTGTAGCATTCAGTGAACAAAGTGTTCCGCCAACAGTTTCTCCAGGATCCACTGAAGAACTACAGAACGGTAGGCACCATATTTTGGAAGAACTTATTGTTGGCATACCCAATGTCATTGAGTAGATTCTGACTTAATACTGTTGGTATAAAATTAAAATGAACGTTTTGGCTTTTACACACATGACGGTGAATAAATATTACATAGAGACTTAGAAGTTTACTTCCTTGGTTGTCAGATAGCCTACCTCACTGTTCTCTAATGTTGTTGTTAAGTGTCGTCGAGTCGGTACGACACATAGCGACCCTGTATAGGGTCTTCAAGGAGCGACTGGTGAGCTTAAATCTCCAACCTTGCAGTTCAAACGGCTTTTCACTCTGGCGCATTAACCCCTAGCGCCACGCCAGGACTCCATGTTCGCTAATGTAGAAATAACTAAATTACACTACGTGTGTACCATTTATATGTTGTTGTTGTTAAGTGCCATCGAGTCAGTTCCTACCCATAGAGCACATCTGTATAGGGTTTCCAAGGAGCTGCTGGTGGGTTTGATAACCTAACCTTGCTGTTAGCAGTCCAGTGCTTATCCTACAGTGACACACCAGGATTCTATAGTAATAACGAAATTATTAATCTGATATAACAGATTTTTCCCTCTATTGGTGCTCATAATTAAGCAAAAATTAGAAATGAGCAATAGTAAATATTACAGTTAATCCTGTTTGTTGTTGTTGTTGTGAAGTGCCGTCAAATTGGTTCAAACTCATAGTGACCATGTGTGTAGTTTCCAAGGAGCACCTGGTGGGTTTGAAGTGTTAACCTTGTGGTTTGCAATCCAGTGCTGATCCTACAGCGCCACATCAGATATTTACCCGTATTTTCTCAAAACTCATACTTTTCTATCTATATTTGCTTCAGCTGGACTCAGCCCACATTTCTGCAATTTTAAGTGGCGCTGTGGGCTAATGCGCCACTCTGCAAAACCGTTTGAACTGCAAGGTTGGCGGTTCAAGCTTACCAGCTGCTTCTCGGAAACTTTATACA